GCAAGATCCCCCCTCCCCAGAACTGGCTAAGAATTATTGTACTAATCGATTTCTCTTGTTGAGAGGAATAGAATGGACCACTGATCGCGTTTGTAGGTGCAGTAAGTAACCATAACGCTTTTACTTCTTTAATAAAAAAAAAATACACGTTCTAGTAATTTAAAAACACATTAGTTAGGGAAATGTCTGAGAATTTTCTAGATGGATAGCAACAAAAAATTAGTTTCCCTTTAGGAATCCGCGAGGCGCCAAATGACACCATTTATTTCCATTGGAGAACCGGACGTGGTCTAACATTTAGTGACAGACAAAGGTCGGACGGGCACAGGTTACTACATTGCTCTACTTATCATATAATTTAATTTGAGATGAGTGCTTCGTAATATACCGTCAGCTTGAAAGGTGAGAGTGAAATCTCAACAAAAAAACATTCACGATTAGATATGCTCTTAACTTTAATTCCCAACAATTGCTTCAATGTACTCAAACAACTACACATTTTGCTCTGATTCAATGTCTTTTAAAATTCGTTCGATCAGAAAATAGGATTAAGATTGAGATAAGAACTAGTACGTTTTAATGACTTTAGGCAGTTTTATGCCTTTATGAATAGAATACCTTGCAAATACCGTGTTTTTACGTCGTTGGTACCGCTATCGGGGTTGAGGCAGTTATGTGATGCTGCACGAATAAAAAAGACGAATTTTCGGCAGAAAAATATTTTACACGGCGCTGGTACTAAAAAAATGTATAAATCCAGATTCTAAATTTAGAAAAAAAATTTCTAAATATAACAAGGTCTATAACAAAAAATCGATTGACAGCAAAACGTCTGTCCGTTTTTGAACTAAGTCAGCAACTAAACCGTTCAGCCTATTTTCTCCAATGGATCTGTTGTTTTCGCGGCCCCTTGAATTTCAAACGGATAGTTGAATTTTTGGGGGTACTTTACATGAAGCCCCGAGGACATTTTCAAAAACATGACGCAATCTATTTTAATTAAATTTTGTTTTTGGATAGTCCGATGGACGTATAAGAAAATGGTGCAGGTCTCATGTTGATGGAAAATCCTGATTTTTTGAAAAATTAAACATTTCAAAATTTGTTCTGCGTCTTCCAACAACTAATATTAATAAAGAACATTTTTTTTCTTAATGAAATGTGCTCGTCAAAAACTTCTTCGAATACGGTTATGTTTGATTTTTCACAAACATTAGTATATTTTGCAAACTTATGTCTTGGACAATTTTGATCTTCGTTTATCATTTTGTGCTTAAAAATTGAATATTTTTTAAAACAAATTGAGAACTTAGAAAGCAAAAACGACGCATAAGAGAATGGTGCAGGCCTCATGATCGTTAAAATGCCTGATTTTGAGAAAATTTAAAACATTCGGCGTCTTCCTACAACTACAATTGTAAAAATATAATTATTTTTCTTAATGAAATGTATTTAATAATAATGGATCTACAATTAGGTCGTGTTCAATTTTCTGAAAATAGAAGTATTTAGGGGGTAATTCGGAGACAAAAATAATCTCCCTCTACGAATTTACTGTGCTTCGTGGAACTAATTCCAGACATTTAGATGCTTCGTAAATTATAATTTGTATATTATTTCAAATTTCTTCGTTCGTTTCTTACATTCGACATTTTGTTATACATTTACACATTAATGTTTTAGAAATTATTTGAAACCTATATGAAATACTGCTAGCTTTCAGGGAATATCAGATTGGAATGCTACAATGACTCAGGAGCTCATTTTTGCGAATTACGTCTTGTTGTTGGGACATGATTTACATGTATGAAAAGCAGTTATAATTGTTAAATTTGTGTTGATATCTGCGTGAAAGTAGTTTTTGAACCTAATGTACAATCTGAAATTAGCAGGGTTGGGCAGTATTTAAATACTTTGAAGTACTATTTGAAATACATTGACATGTTTATCCACGCCAGTTGAATGACTTGTTTTTCTTTGCAGTTGCTTCTTTGCTACATTTGCCAACTACTTGTTTATTGTCTGATGAATCAGTCGTTTTAAAAGGAAATTCCGTTTCTTTTTGTTAGACATATTTTTGATATTTTATATTTGAACAGGTTTATACAGATACACACATTATATACATATGGTTACAATACATCACAATAGTTATTGTTCAGAAATTTGTGTGACAATTACTAATTTACTGCAATTCACAATATATTGTTGCATTAAAAATATATATGTATATATGTGTGTGTATACACATATACATTACATATTTACAGTATTTTGAGTACAATGTACTTCAAAGAATTAATTCTTAAATGATGAAAAATTGTAAAGGTAATAGCTCCTCTGCAAAATAAGAAACCATAGTTAACCCCAAGACCGACATTCTCTCGTTTTTTAGAGGAACGGGACGAAAAAGCACAAGTCGGCAACACCGTAATCATAGCGTGCTTCATTCAAATCGAGCGACAAGTTCTTAACGAGAGTAACTTCCCTCTGTGTACTGGGAGCAATGAAAAAATCATCACAAAAAAAAATCTTACCTTGGATATTAACCAGATTTTCGGCAAAGCAAAAATTCGATGGTTATAATAAAAATATAATCTTTTCTAGAAAGAAATTAGAACCCAGAAAAAGTTTTGCAACTTTCAGGAAATCAGGCTTTTTATAGGAGACCTACACCATTCGCAAAAATTTCCTATACTACCGGACAATAAAATTTAATAAAAATGCTCGGCGCTATTTTTTTATTTTGAAAACGTTCCATGGGCTTCATGTTAAGAAAAAAGAATTGCTAATATTTCAAATGATTAAACATTTATTCATTTTATAATTTATTTAAAAAATTGTATTACATAAGTAGTATAAAAAGTATTACATAACTATTGACTAAAGACAAAAAGTACATGCTGTTTTAGCACCACTAGTTTCGAAAGGTGACAATACATCTTTATTTTCCCTATGATGAAATCCAAACTTATTTTTTTATCGGTGATTGGTTTCGCTGTCTCGTACCCAAAACCTTTACATTTTTAAAGCCTTTCTGCGAAAAGGAGGCTTTGGAAATCTATTCTATTTTTTTCGTATACTTTAAGAATTACACTGACAAACTAGCATAGACACATGGCATAGCGTTTTCTTTCTGTCAACTCATGTAGTTTTTTTTAATTTAATAACAAATCTGAAAACTGGTTTGCTCCCACGTCAGGCTTTTAAGATAACGACAAAAATTAATTTTCATTGAACACCCTCCATTAATTTTTTATCCACATTTTTTTTGTATATTTTCATAGTCTGTCAAAAAATTACATTTAAAGTAATATTTTAAAGCATTTTCGATATAGCGTTGGTAGGATAGTGCGGACGTCAGAGGTTTTGAGTCAACACTGAATGATAGCGATTGTTCCACTCAACTGAAACCAGTTTGAAAGCACTATTATTAAAAAATGGAAACAAATATGCAACAGTGCTGGATATTCTACTCACAGGAACGAGACATATGAAACTATCTCTCAACTTCTTGAAGAAAGCGAACTGCAGCGGGGATTGGGGGGAGAGGAAGACTCAGGTTACGTCATAGCATAAAAGAGCGTACCAACTGCTAAAATGAACATGGCGTACGATGAACTTACGTAAATGATAGCAATTATTCCGAGTCATCGGAGTAGCTGTCGCGTTCACTATCACTGGCCGTGTCCCCAGCCACATTAACAATAATATCGTCGATGGCTATTTCCAAAATTCCATTTTTTTGGCCAATATTCGATTTCACACTTCTGTATGTGTTCGCAAAAGCCTTTTCAGTCTGCAAATGTGACAGTGGAGAATGCATAGTGTGAGTTCACGGAGGTGTTGCAATGACAAGTCTCCAGTTTTCCCTAAACACACTTTTAATTTTTGGGATTGAAGTAACAATTGTAAGGTGGAAGACGAATAACAGTATGACCCCTTTCAGAAGCCATTTTGTCAATTACGTAAGCATTTTCACTCAGTTTATTGCCCAGTATGAGGTCGAACAAATAACTTTGTGATCACAATCAATTCCCCTCTACCTTAACCACTCTATCATTGTCACTTTGGTGTCGTATCTTGAGGAGACTATCGGCTTGCCTAGAATGGTAAGGGACATTATCCATAACTATGACAGTTGCGGGTGGTATATTTGGGAGTAATTGCGTATTCAAAATTGATGGGGTTCATTTGTCCATGGTAATCACTTGTGACGAGTTCGCTTCTATTATTAGGTTAGCATCTGCAACAAAACCACTTCGAGAACCTGCGCCAACAATAATGAGTCGTTTTGCAGAACTGCCCCACGAAATCACTCTTAAAATATCATTTTCGTTTTGCCAGCACTTTCCTGTGGTCATATTATCATATGATTCATCTAAATAAAAAATTTCCCTTAATTTTCTCTAAAATGCTTGAGTCTCAATAGGTGTCAAGATCTCCAATCTACAATATCACCTCGTTCTAACAGTAATTTTCGTTCGTTCTGAACTTTCTTCCAAACGAATCCGGTAGATTTCAAAATGGTTCGAAATGAAGGGACCCAATTCCAATTGATTTTTGTTTCAGCACTGGTAGTTTTGTTATTGTAGGAACGACCTTCTGGACAGTGTAAAACTCATGAATAGTGTCCCTGATTACTCTTATCGAAATCGTCCAACAGGATTCTCCCGCGTGTTCTTGTTCTGACAACAAATAGAAAAAGGTTCATGCACTTATTATTCGCGAAAAAATGAAACATAATAAATATTTCCGAATATCCATAGATCTTAAGGCCTCCCAACAAACGATGAAAATTCATAAACATTTGGAGGTATTTAAGGAATATTCTATGAAAATATTGGGAATATATTGCAAAAATTCGAATATTGAAAACAGAAAAACGTGAAATATGATAATCGGGTATAATTACTCCTTTATATACCATCGATGTGGGTACGCATGGGTTTCTGCAGGATCCCTTTTGAGTAAACGCCTCTCAAATGTCACAGGGTCACATTTTCACCAGTGTCGGTGCGCATATGCTCCAGCAAGTGCTCCTTTACAGTAAACGTCTTCTTACAAATAGAACCCTGAAAAGTTTTTTCATCGGTGTGGATGCGCATGTGCTCCAGGAAGTGCATATTTTTAATGCACGCCTTCTCACAGGATGAACACTGAAAAAGTTTTTCAGCAGTTTGGGCGTACATGTGGTAATTGAAGCCCCCTTTGCGCCAAAGGTTATGTCACAGATGGAACAGTGAAAAGGGTTTCGCCAGTGTGCTTGTACATGTGCCTCTTCAAGAACCCGTTTTGAGTGAGCGTCTTCTCTCACTGAAACATGGAAAAGGTTTTTCACCAGTGAAGTCGCGCATGTGCTCATGCGAGTAAACGTCTTCTCACAAATGGAAAACTGAAAAAGTTCTTGAATGAAAAGCATGTGAATTTTCAAATGTCCCTTTTGAGTAAACTAAGTTTCACAGATGGAGAACTGAAAATGTTTTTTTATCCAGTGTGGATGCGCAAACGCTGATGCAAGTGGATCCTTTTGAATGAACGTCTTCTCACAGATGGAACACTGAAAAGGCTTTTTACAGCGTGGGGATGTGCAATTGGCTCTTTTTAATGAACGCCTTCTCACACGTGCAACATTGAAAAGGCTTTTCACCAGAGTGGCTGCGCATGTGCTCTTGCAAGTGCGTCTTTTGAACTCCTGACAGATGGAACACTTAAAAGGTATTTCACCAGTGCAGGTGCTTACGGTTGTGGTGCATGGTCTGGTCATAATTGGAAAAGCTGCTCTCACGGATGCAATCAAAGTTTGTACTTTTGCTCTGTTCTGTCTGGATTGAGCTCGGTTTCTCTGACGCAAAACGTGGTCCATCTATCAACAATAAAAAAAAGTATCAGACATCCGGACGCAGACTAGCAACTAGGCACCCTTTATATTTAAAAACGAAACACGTCACAAATGGCACAGGGACAGCATTTGGGATGCAAGATATTGCAATTACCTATTAATCAAATTATTGAATTAATAGCTGAGTCAAGGTTAGGTCAAATAAATAATCAATATTGAGCTGAACATCCAATACGTACCGTAGCATGTGAAGATTTTGATCTAGACATGAATTCACAATCAGACAGCAACTATTGAAGCAATAAACTAGTCAATTCAGACAAATATAAATAATACTAGCAAACTATGATTTAGAACATGGCCATCACAGTTAAATTATGCACTTCCTATGAATTCAAAATTGATGAAACAACAATCATTAAATAATAGCTTGAATTTAAATAAAACGGATCAGATTAATCAGTGCTTATGAATTCCATACAAGATAATTAAATAAAATTCTGCATTCTACTTGAATAGAAAATTAGTAAATGAGTTAAGAGTTACAAATGCAAAAGACACTATGATTTATATTGCTGACTGCCTGCCATGATTTGATGCCATTATGGTAAAAAGTGTACTCATCAGCACACGATTAAGGCAAAGGGAACATATAAGCATCAGAGGTATAAATTACTCAGCGAAAAAGGATCACATATAGCTTGACTGTTGCGTAATGCAGATAAAGGCCACACTAGCATTTGTATGATGTCTACTGTTCATCTTCCACCAATGAATAGATCATTAATATAAAAAAATTGCAGACTTCAAAACTTAACTAGCAATATTTATTATTTCACTAAGATGCAAGTATATTACATATTAGATTCATATCAAAATGAGTTCACTTTCTACATAACATGTAACACAAATAAAAAATTGTTCCTACACACAATATGTAGGTAGCAATTATCGATTTGGCACATAATGTTTGAAAACTATTCTGTGATCTAGCAGTATATTATTAATGCCAAATATAGGGTTTGGGGAGTTTTTGTGTGGAAAATTATTTACAATGAATAATGTGTAAGTTTTTCATCAAATTCTCTCCAGTTTGAGAAAAATTCTCTCATTTGAATTCTTCTCTTTAAGCACGTTTCTAAGTAATTTTAAAATTAACAGAATCTAGGAAGGAAAATTTTGTTAAATTAGTGCCCGAAATAAAATTATTTTACTCCTTCCATGAATTCCTTAATTGACTCAGGTAATTTATTTTTTTTTATTTTATTTAACACAAAAAACAGTTAAAAGCTGTGTGTGGTGCTACAGTTAATATGTATTCTGTGCATTTTCTGAAATTATAGGATCCTTACCCTCACCCTACACAAGTGAAATTCTGAACACAGATAAAATGACAAAATTTAGTAAGAAAAATACGCTCCAATGTAATAAAAACTACTTGAAAAGGCAAAACAGCTATCCTTTTTAGCAATTATCCCTCTTCATACTCTGCGTCAAAGAAACGTGGAGGACTTCCTGCTGTGACAAAATGGGGAATGATCATATAAAAAGTTATATTACCCACAGAACACTAAAAGACGTGCACAAAGAAGTTGCATTTATGTCCAGAAGCAAAACAAGGGGACGTCTCAAAGGATCAAGGAAAATCGACGAAAAATGTGATTGGTGTGGTGGTCAATGACCCAGAAGCTGAGAATACTTGTTAAAGAATTATTTTGAACAAATGGGCATTAATATAATCAAAATCATTGTTAAAATTAATATTACTTTCTGTTTTAGCACTCGGTATAGTCTCTATTGAAATAATTGTGCAGCAGAAAAGATTTTACTTGGTACCCTAACTTGTTTAACAAATTTAATCATTGACTATCAGCTGGCTATGTGATGTAAAAAATTGGATATGTATTGAATGTGAATGTAAATTAGGTGTTTGTAATAAGAGAGTAAAATACACTTCTTCTCCACTTCAAGGATAGGTCAATGACCTGTTCCGGCTTCTAAGAATTCCATCTTTTTAGGGGTCAACCTGGATCTCTTCTGCCTTGAGGCCAATACTTATACACCTGCTTTGGAATGCAAGTCTCTTGCATTTTTTCCACATGTAACCATTCTTGTCTGTAACATTGTACCTTGTCATTGAATGCTTGGACGTCAATTCTTTTTGAATTTCCTCATTTCTGAGTTTATCTAGTCTGGTACATTTTTTTACAAATCTCAAGAATTTCATTTCAGCAGACTGTAATGCCTGTTTTTCTTTCTCCCTCACAATCCAGCAATCACTTCCGAACAACAGACGGGACAGCCGTTACTTTATATATACTCATTAGAGTATCTCTACATGTTTTATCTTTAACAGTTCGCCAAATATTTCCACATATATTCTGGTATTTATGAATTTTTCATCTAAATCCATTTTTGCTAGGAATATAATGTTGTAGCCCAACTATTTAAAATGGCTAATTTGTTCCAGCATCTCATTTTTCAAAATTATTTTGGTGCATATAGGATGCTTTCCCACAAATGCCATTGTTTTGGTCTTCATTTTGAAATCTTTAGATTATATCCTTTGCAAGTTTGGTTTAATTGATGGATAGACCTTTGTAAGTCATCCTGTCTTTCTTGGATTATAATCTGATTAATTCCTAGGCTGATTACTTCAATTCTCAAATGACATCATCCAAGAATGTGTTATACAATGTTGTGGAGAGGCTGCATCTTTTGCAAACTCCTTGTTGTTGTTTTTTATTTCTTTTGAACATTTTTCTTCTAGTTCTAACAGAGGTATTCTGATACAGAGATTGAATGTTATTGATTAAGAGGTGTGGACAGTCTTCTTTCCATAATTTTCCATGAAGTGGAGTGTTTCAATTTATCAAAAGCCTTTTCATAATCAACAAAAGCCAAATGGATTTCTAGATTAAATTCCAAATGCTTTCCTATTAGATGTTGGATGGTAAAAATATTATCTGTACAGATGTGTTCCTTTCGAAGCCCATTTTGCTCTTCTATAATTAAATTTCAGAGATATTAACAAGTCTTATTTTTTACCTGCCTGAAATCACTTTGGAGAAAACTAGTTCATCAATTACCGTGATGAACAGTAATAAAGTTCCAGGAACAGACAAATTAACTATAAAAGATATAAAACAAATATTAATTCAATAGCACCAATTGTAATGAAAATTGTCAACTTAAGCATTAATGACAAGATGTTTCCAGACAAATTAAAAGAATCCATAATCAGACCAATACATAAATGAGACAGTCTCTTAGCCTATGAAAACGACAGGCTGATCTTCGTTTTAAACACACTAAGTAAAGTTCTTGAAAAATATGTATCACAAAATTTGACTAATTTCTTGAAAAAATATCAAATTAAAGATAGGAATCAATTTGCATATCAGAAAAATAAAAGCACCACAGATTTACTGGAAAATTTAGTAGAAGTAATAAATGAAAAATTACAAATTAGTAAATAAATAAGTAATACATGAAAAATTAAAAAAGTTATTAAATGTGATTACATTAAGCATTGACTTGTCAAAACCTTATGCTGTGATAGACCAGGAAAAAATGTTAGATGCACTAGAAAGAATAGGAGTTTAAAGGTAATGTTTTACAGTTGTTCCAAAACTATTTAGAAGGGAGATCATTTAGAGTCAAAATACATAATACTTATAGAGAAACAAAAATTGTGAAAAGGGAAATTCCACAAGGACGTTGTGATCCTATACTCTACCTAATATTATCTAAAAGATGGTTCTTATTTTATTTATGTGGATGTGAAGTTTCTATTATCTATAAACAGATACCAAAGGCAGAAATTGAGTTGTAGGAAAGATCTGGGATATTTTGGAAATGGTGCGACAAAAAAGGTCTAAATAATCAATAAAAACGAGACCAAAGTATTGCATATCCCAGCACCAATAATTGCAAGACCACAAGTTCAAATATTCTTTCACCAAGCTGACTGCAAACACAAAAACTGTCTATGTAATAGCATAATTAATTCTGTAAGCAAACAACTTACAGCAAACAGCATAACTTTTTATCAAAATCTGAGCTGGAAAGATCAGATTTTGGAATTAAGTAAGAAAATAAGAACAAGTGTTTGGAAACTAATGGGAATTAAAGATTTTGTATCTTACAAAATTTTCAAATTAGTTTACTTCTCATTAACGGAGTCCTGACTTCAGAACTTCAGCCTGACAGCTGTCTCTCAGTTATGCAGTGTACTTGTCTGTTCGCAAATAACAATGATCTTCCAAGTCTACAATAGCAACTTCAGTCTTACAAATGAGCACTAAGCTGGCATGAAATACAGGCAGCGATGACAATGGAATATTACAA